TATGAAAGATGAAAGAAAAGACTTAACAAAAGATGAAAGAAAAGACCCAAAAGTATTGGGTCCTAAAAACACAAACAGCATAAAAATTCTCATAGCTTACCTTTGCCTCAAGGAAATGGGGATTATCAACAAGATTCAGAGACTTCCGATGTGTGTTCAGAACTTTAGTGGGAAGAGACATAGACACAGCTGGAAAGCAAAGTCACCAGAAAAGAAGCCCATTTCAGTAGCATGAAAATTGAAAACATCTGCATCAAGCAGCTATACTAGGTAAAAACAACAGAAATATCTCTAAAAGTCAAAATATAGAGGCAACAATTCTGAGATGCTGCGCGTGGAACTTGGAGATGAGCTAACACTCTGAACCTTATCTCCTTGCAGGCTTCCTCCAAGAGCTTCTGTGGTCAGCATGTCAAAGGCTCAGGTGCTGCATGCTTGACAGCCCATGCCTCAGAAATCCTACAGCCCAATGACCAGACCCTGCTAAGTGTTTTAAACATTTCAACATGAAGTATGTGGAGAAAATGGTCTAACTGGTAAGATATAATAATTAAAGTGATAACGGTAAATGCAGACTAATGTTCTGTTAACTTCACGTGTTGAATTTACTATAAGATCAGATTATCTGGCATATGAAAGATGAAAGAAAAGACTTAACAAAAAAGCCTGAAAGCTATTACTATACACTGAAGTAAAGGGAAACCTTTGCTTAACCAGGGCATTGAATATTACGTACCTACATATCAAACACTGCATATGTTGGAATCTATTTACAAATTCAGTCCAAGCATTATTTTGGTGTAAATCCTTCTACCAGTCTATTAGAAATACAGCATAATTAGGAATACTGTTCTGCCTCTCTACTCCATTGTTTTCACAAATTTATACAGTACATGTGCATACTTATGTTTTTCTGGCATCAAAACACTTCATTTCACCATAACTTTATTAAAATAAGAAAGTACATTTTGTCTGCCTTGTTTACACAAAGACAAAAAAAAAAAATGAACTCACTGATTCAGGTTCTAAAATTCTATCCAACTGAGACACTGCATCAGTTTCCATAACATTAATTTCCATTAAATGTTACATTTCATAGCAGGTTATCTATGTATACACCAAGATACAGGATATTGTGGGAACACTACAGGAACAACTTTGGACTTATTCTCATTGATAACTACAACATACTTGTGCCACTAGTTCTTTTGAAATACTTGAACTTACTCCTTTTAGCACCCAAAAGAGGTTTTCTACTATTATCACTAAATAAATAATAGGGAGAAATACCTGGAACCTCCAAGCCCTTTGTCTTGGCCATTATTGACAGTATCTCGTTTGTGGAATGGTTTGCACTGAACACAGGTATTTGATTCGCAGTCTTTGAAGTTGGAGGCAGGTATGGCTTCAGTGCCGTACTCTGCAGGATGTCATTTATATACTGATCCAGCTCATCCTGGCTTTCTAGTGTCACATACATAAAAGAAAAGGTTTATTAAAGGTAAAAACATAGTTTATCAGTTCCTTCTTTTTCAAACACACTCTGTTTTTGCCCATACCGAAAGGCACACAAAAATGCAAGAATATCATAAGCATGACATTTTTAAGCTGAAGAAATTAGAAAAAAAATGTAATCAGTTTTTGACACTTTGAAAACAGCTACATTAAGACATTGCTTCCCCCTTTGACAGGAAGCAAAAGGGTTTTTATCTTGCTGGTAGCCCACAGATCAGCCCTTCCACACAAACTCTTGTCTACAGTTCCTCACAGTCTCTTCCCCTTTCTAACCTCTTCCACAAGCCCCTGCCCCTCCCCATCAGCTGACTCTTTAGACTCAGCTTTACTGCAGCAGTTACTGGTCAGCACCATACTATGAGCGTGGGAAGAATATGCACAAACTCCTTCTCCAAATTAAGTCATGCATGTACTGTTCTCAGACTGACGCCTGAGAAACAGGAATGACTATAAACTGTGCACAAAATAGATTCTGCATCAAACGTAAACCCAGGCTCTGCTGGCAGAGCTTGACAGAAAAAATTGTGAAGTGAAAAAGCACTACCTTTTTCACAGAAGTCTACCGGATAGCCTCCATATTCACTGTCAGGACTATTATAGCCTTCACTAGGGTCGTCCAACAGTTTTACATCACAGTCTGGATCCAGGAAGCTCAGATATGTATGAAAAGAGGTGGTAAGAAATTCCGATAGCTTGCCTATCTTCACCCTGCAAATAGGAAAGCATGCCAAAGAGCATTAACATCCACCATTTTGATACTGATTAATGCTCACTGAGCTTTCAACAGCTCCTCCAAAATTTATGACACCTACTGTCAAATTCACCTTTGGTAACTACAAAGCAACAGATAACAGATACTGAGAAAAACAAATGCAATACAATAGCTGCAGATCCAGCTGGATACTTACTGCTCTGGATACTAACTCAACTGTTATGGTAACACCTACAGATTTAAGTCGAAGCTTAACTACGGAGGGTGTTTTGAAGAGAGACCCTGAACAAATACCTAAACTCCAAGGATAATGCAACAGAAACAAGGGCTGAGAAGTTCCCATGAACAGCAGCATCTTTTCAAAGAACTGCAGTGCTGCTAAAGACCTGAAAACACATTTGATTGTCAGAGGAAGACACTGCCTGAGGGAGAGGCAGCAGAAAAGAGAACAGGGAGGTACTGTAAGCATCATACTAAATTGCTCTTATATGCAGGTGAATGGAACACATAAGCTTCCAAGTACAATTGTAATTCATGTTTAAAACATGTCCGAGAACTGTGAAAGATAATTGCTTCTTAAAAACAAAAGCCCAGTCAAGACTAAGTTTTTGTATTTCCAAAGGTTTGAAATTAGTTTTTCCTTATCCATTAATGGCAGTCAGAGATGGTACACCTCTTTGGAGACAAATCCTTCCCATTGCATCTGAAGTCCAGCTACCATCTGATCGTCACATAATAATTAAAGCTGAAACTTCTCTCTCTGCAAAGTTCCAGTACAAGGTCTATGCGCTATTACAAGTTCAAATCTGAGGCTTGTATAGGATTTAATTAAAAAAATCATGGAGAGACTCATCTGGGAGTTCTGACATTACCTTGCACCTCCAAAATAACCATCTTCTAATTTTCTTATGGTGGCAAGAACTGCTGGATGAATGTCAGTACCATCATCAACTAAAAAAGAATAATGGAAGAGTTTAAGAATGTGTTGGTAAACTTCAAATTATCATGTCCAAACAAAGTGGACTACTGGGTGTTCTCTACAAAGTAAATCAGAAAAATTTAAAACAGAACTCATAACTGCTATCAATAATTCAAAAAAAACCCCAAACAAACAAGCAACCAAAAAACAAATCTAAGATAAGTTCCAAAGGGATTTCTCAAGACAAAAATCAACCCACTCAAGACAAATTCCAAAGGGATGTCTATCAAATTTCTTTGGACAGAATAGCATGGAGATGATGGGGAGATGCAAAAATACAAAGGAGGAGTAAAACTAAAATGAAATATTACAAAGTCATACAAATTCAGTATATACTTCAGAAAGTACTTTTGAAACTGTACTTTTGTTGTTAAAACTCAGATGTTGAAACAGTCGTGCCACCCATCTCCTCTCAAGCCAGCTCGCATCCTACTCCCCTGCAGTAATCTACTCTGCTTGAAACAGAGAAAATGAAGTTTACCAAGCATTGTGTGGGTGATGGGAAACGTCAGGATTGGTCTCCCTGTCATCCTCCAACAAGAAGTGAGGTAAGCCAGCTCTGTTTTGAGCATCTCCACAATCATCTGATTGTCTAGAGCCAGATAGAAGTGATGCTGGTCAGTAAACTAGAGAACAGAGAAATATGGCATATAAGTAGTTGTCAGTGCTCTCTTTTTTTGTTTGTTTGTTTTTTTTTTTTAAATTTCCTCCCTTAAATCATTCACAAAAGCTATCTGAACTATTCTTGACCACAACACAGACTGCATGAATTAACCTAACAAGGCCTGTGACTGTGAAAAATAAATCCACGCTTGTGCAGAGTCCGTTTTCTTACACTTGTAGGCTGACCATGAAAGAAGTAAGGCATACAAATAAAAAGTAGGTAATCACACCAATGAAGTAAAATCTTCCCAATGATAAGTTACAGTAACCTATGATCTGGAAGACAGAAGTACCCTAAATGTGGAAGAAAAACTAACTATACCAACAAAAACAATGAATAGGCATAAGTGCATGCTGGGGACTAGGAACTAGTAACTGTCAATCCCTTGGGAACAATCTGAAAGCCAAACAGAATACATAAAAGCTGGCAATTACTGTAGAAAAAGGTACATTAAATGTACAATGGTAACGTTTGCTGTTCCCACTACAGAGGAAAGCCAAGAACCACAGTAAGAGACTATTACAGCTACTTCAGGAGCTGGAAACCAAGCGAGCTAGACAAACAACTGGAAGTGTGTCACATCAGCCACAACAAAAGTTAAGGAAGCACATAAGCCTTGGGAAGGGGTGGAAAAAGGAGGTTGGGATGTAAAATAAACATAAATTAGTAAGACATATAACGGTCAAGGAGAAAACACCCTGTAAACGCAGTAGAAGCAATAGGAAAACATAGAATCTCTGGGTCTGTTAATAAAGAAAGGAAGGAGGTAGGAAGAGAAGATACTGACAAGCTGAAGCATTCAGTGCTGGTTTTACTGACAGAAGGAAAAGTAGCGAATTATGACCTTTAATACTACTTTTAACGAAGCAACAGGAGTCCAGCCTGAGTATGGGAAGAAAAGGTTAAAGAGCACGTAAATTGAAGCTGGCAAAGTCCAGAGAAGTTACTTCACAGAACTTAAGGAACTAGCCAAAACAATCCCTGACCCACTTGCAATTAATTTTGATAATTCAGGAAGAATAAGTCCCAGAAATCCAGAGAGAGGCAAAAACACTGCTTGTCTTTCAAAAGGAAGAGCCAGGCTAAGATAGGCCAGTCAAGTCAATTTCAGTGCCTGAAAGCACAGGAAAACAAAGCCAATTTGAGACTGCCAAGATAATTACAAAATGATAAAGCAATATGACCTAATAGTCCTATCAAACACCAATCTCGGAAAAAAAGCCAAATTTTCTTCTTTGGGAGGAACTAGATAGTAGGTACAAGAAAGCCTCTGACATCTCTCAACTTTTGCAAATTTTCACGCTAGTGAGCTGAAGAAAAAACATCTGAGGCAGCAGAACTGCTTGAAAACTGTTCTCAAAAGTTAGTTATTAACCACTTTTTCAGAATAAGAGGGTATCTAAACGGGGTCAGCCTTTGCCCCACACCTAATCAATGTTTTCATTAGAGAACAGGATGAAATACAAACTAAAAAACCACAAAATTTGTGGACATTACTCAAGATCAACACAGATGAGTTAACTGCTAACCTTAGGAAGGTGAAATTAAACAACAATTCCACCCTCTCAAAAAAAAGTCAGGGGGAAATGTCTGGCTACAAGTACAACAGAAAATACTATGGAGCTTTTAGTCAAACATGGAATAAGCAGGAACTGAATAAGCAGTGTGCTGTTGAGGCAAAGATAATTGCCATTTTGGAATATATTAATAAGCATGCCTGTACTTGATACATGGCAAGATTTCAGCTGGAAAATTGGGTCCTACTTACATAGTAAAATATGGACAAAGAGATATTTTGGAAAAAAACTTTAAGGAATTTTTCTGTAATTTGCAAGAGTGAAAATTGGTGGGAGGGAACAACACAACAAACAATCTGTTAAAAAGCTGGTTGTGATCAACTGACACGGGAAAGAACGGGAAGGGAGCCACATTATTTGCAGTAAACCTGATGCTGTCTGGACATCATGAAGCACTGCAGAGGCCATCTGTGGAGCACACTGTATGTCTTCCACTGGAATTTAAAGACTACATTAGTCAAACATCTACCTAGGAGGGTGTGAGCATTCTTTATCGTGCTCCAGTTGCACACGTTTCAGTAGGTGATTGATTCCTTGGCCTTCTAGTACCAACTGCTAGAATAAGTCTACAGGAGCGTGTCATATTTCATTAAACATATAAATAAGAGCCATTAATTCTGGGAGAATCTAAACTTCCAGTTACACTGAAAAAGGCAATAAACAGAAAACAACAACAGAACAACCCTTCCTCAGTGCTACTGACCTTTTCAACAATATAATGAAAAGATTACATCTTAGTCTCTTGGGGGTTATACTACTTGGCACGCTTAGGTGAAACTAAATTTTGCATCAAAGCAATCAGTAGGAAGATAATATTAAGTGACCTACTTTCTAGAGAAACTATTTCATTAGCTGGAATGTCAGTTTGGGCAGAGATCAGTAACAACTTTGTACTATTGATTTGCTGCGTTCTCCTAAGCCAGAAGCCGAAGAAGCCAGACTCTGTATGACAGAAGACACATTTATCAGCACTCCTACCATGCTGATCATCCAACACTCTTAAAAACCCCACAAAGCAAAGCACATCTGCTTTATCAGCCCTGCTCTACCTAAAGTAGAGTAACTGCACAGTGCTTCACTAATGACGAGTCATTAAGTAAGCAGTGATTTTCCTGCCACCTTTACATGCTCACCTGAGGGGTAAAAGCAAATATTTGATTTCTTATCACATACAGCTTGGAGGTGCCTAACACACCAATGTGTCGGTGTGGCCGTCCGCTTAATTTCATGCTCTTGTTTCGGCCTGTAAATAAAAGAGAAAGAAAATAAAGTCTCACCCAACATTTCCTCTGTGGTTTTCCATAACAATAATTTTAGACAAGGAGATCTACGTTCATATCAGCAAGGCAAGATATCTGTTATCAGAAGACAGTTAACCGAGTAAGATGCTACAGACTGGTCCGTTTTGTAGCAACCACTAATATAATAGCTAGAGTTCTTTAAAGGCCTGATTACAAATAAAAATTTTGGCTCCACTGATCATGAGATTGGGTTTTTTAACTACAGTCATTGCTCAGCACCCGAAGCTTCCCCACCAAGAAGGCGAGGAGGTATGTATGACCTTTCAAAAACAAAGCCATCAAATACAACAGAAATTGCAGTGCTTTCACTGTAGAACCTTAAAAATTCTTGCTTGCAGAAAGCTAAATCCATATACAAAGTACATCCAAACACAAAGACAGATGTTCATTCTTTTCATCAGGCTAATAAGCTTCACTTTTCTCAGTAGAGCTTATTAGCAAATGATCCACACTGCATCCTTTGCTCCAGCAGCCAGGAGATAACTTGAATCTGTCTGACAAGGAATATGAGCCAAACAACCATGTGCCTGAAAAGATACCACTGTGAACATTCCCAAAGAAGTCACTGTTAAAAACAATACACCAATGTGTCAAATCATCCTACTCACCTCCACTACTGAAAGAAAGCTATTATGAATTATTATGAAATAAATGTAAGCTTCAGAAAAGTCCCAAAAGTGTTTCATTTGTTAAAAGTTCTTTGTGATAAAAAGACAAATTCTTTCCCAAAAGCAGCAGACGCAATTTTCTTTCTCCATGTAAAGGGCATGCTTTCTAAGACTTATTTGAAGGCTCCATTACTTTGGATGCTTCCAAAAAGCTTGCTATTAAAACAAAAAAAACAACAAAACCCACCACCATAACAACAAAAAAACCTCTTTACTAAAGCCAGTTTCTCTGTGGAAGTAGTTCCTGCAGAATAAAAAGCGTCAGTTCTCTTGCCTAAATCCAAGGGTACAGGGAAACCTGTATTTGATCACCTTTTCTAATGAGGTAATGTTTTTTTTCCTGTTGGAGTTCCTCATTTAAGACTGAAGTTCTAATTTCCTTAAGCCTCTTTGCACAAGTGCATTTTTTTTTTAAATCAAAGAAATTAAATTGAAGAAATTGAGACAGTGTTGTCATGGTTTAGGATAGGGTGAAGCAAGAAAAACAAAAAAACCAAACATCACTCTTAAAAACCTTGCACAGCAGTAGAGAAGGGCTTCCATGTTCAAATACCTACCCAGCATGGTGTAGAGGTTACTCAGGATGCGAGCTGGCTGCACTCTGAGCGGATGGATATCAGCAATGCTCTGAACATTGATTCCATGGCCTCGCAAGAGATTCTTAATTTGATTAGATTCTGCCAAAACAGTCACTGCATACCAGAAAACAAAAACACTAGTAAGAACTAAAGTTCTCTTTTTAACTGACTGTCTCTGCTGCCACCTCTCAACTACTGCAGAGTTGACTAAAAATGCACAAAGGCCTTGCTTTCTTAATTTATGAGTCTGTGAGACAAAAGGGGTTGTAAGTGGGTGTCAGACAGCTTTTGGCTCTCTGCTTCTCAAAACACCTTGCTGTTCCTGCCCACTTTGGTCCACAGGGTAATTCAAGGTGGAAGAGTCCTCATAAGGTCTCTACTCCAACCTCCTGCTCAAAGCAGGGTCAGGTCTGAGGTGAGAACAGGTTCTTTGAGGCTTTACCAGTTTCTTCAGATTTCTTTCAGTACCACTAGTTTGGATCATGCAGTCTCTTTCAGCAGATGGTGCTTTTCCCCCATAATACAAGGGGAAACTCAACTTGAAAACCTTCACTGTTTTAATACAGCACACTATAACAACATAGCCAAGTCAATGGGGAACAGATGCTGTTACTTGTATAGCAATAAACGTTACAGAGGCCATAAAATGGCAGAGGTAGGAAAAAAAAAAGGTCTCAAAATCAGAGAAATTCACAGTCTAGGCCTTAATCAAACCTGCTTGAAGTTTTGTCCATGTTAGCTGACTTACTGGTTTGGAACTAATAATTCAGTATTCTTCTTCACATTATAAATACTTGTCAAAGAATGCTAAAAATAAACAAGCATTTATATTTCTACTAGAAATTAAGCACTTCAGAATAGCAAAATACCATCCCTGTGAGACACCAAAAGGGGGTAAACAAGCACCTGCTCACATCACAGTATCATTAACAAAGGCTGCTCCTGATAAAGGAGCTGGTTGCATTTCCAGAGTGGTACAGGCCCTTGAAAAGCCTTTAAGTTCTGATCAGCTGGTGTTTGCCCTCTGCTTAATATTCTGGTTTTGGCTGTTCCTGCACTGACAAAGGAAGCCACTCTCCTGCAGCAGCCAAAAAGATACCTGTAAGTCTGGATGCCTCACCTCTGTATACAGAGATCCTCCCCACTCATTGCTCTCTGGTTCCTCTGAAAAGGGGCTGAACAGAAACCTAACTAAACTGAGTGGTCTCCTGCCCTTTCTTGCTAGAATCCACCAAGATTTTCATTTTCACTAGAAGATTAAATTTGCCACTCTCTGGTCTCTGACCAGTCTTAAAATTTTTACAGGTATTTTTTAAAAGTTTGTTAAATCTGATCTTCCCTCTGGGAAAATGGCAGCAGCTAGGCAAACAACCCTATTCTCCTTCTCACAGTAACACCAAAGCATCTATGTCCCATGAAAAAAATTCATATTATTTTTAAACATGTCTGTCTTCTCTCCCGTACATAGGGACTTTGCCATCACATGATCCAGTTCACCAAGAATGTTCAAAAAGCTCCCTCACCTTGTACCACAACATCAGGTTTAAATCCAGTGGAAAATCTCCTGTTTAAGGGATCAATTTCACCCGCAGCAAGAAATCCCTAGATGCAAAAGAAAGAAAAAAGGAAGGAAACAAAAATTAAGTAAAAGGCTTCTGATGACATCTAACAGAAATCTTAACCAATTTTAGTATTTTATCAGGACAGTAGGACTAAAAGCCTGGTTTCTTTAACCCATCAACTAAGTAGTGCATGCCATAAAAACAGTGGCTGTGCTATTTTTCAGAACGACAAGAAAACGGTTATGACTGACACAATCTGCATGTCCATATTTCCTATTTTAGAGTTGCAGCAAATGACATAATTTTGCCAGGCTAGTGACTTTTTTTGTACCTCCACAGAGTTATTCAGTGGTTCCTTTAACAAGTCCATGGCTAATACAGGACAACTCCACAGGCATCTTATGCCACAGAGTGAGGCATAGCCCAGTGGAGTTGAAACAGTGCAAAATCCTAGCTCTGGGACAGCCAAGTCAGTCTGGGCATATTCCTTTAGCCTAACCATATATCCAGTCCATCTGACAACTTATTCAGCTTGATTAGAAACAGGTAATTGCACATCTACAAAAAAAAAAAAAAAAGCTCCTGAAAGCTCAGAGTCACTCCTCCATCGTTTATGTATATATATCTACTGGAAAACACATTGCCCGCTACTCATCAACGAAATTTTTTTTAAAGCCAAAGCCATCTCAAACCAAAATGAAACACAAGCTCATCTACTATATAAGCAACAATTACCTCTGCTAACAGGCAGCTAAGGATATACAATGATTGTCCCCAAAGATGAGGCAACTTTCCCACTGGGACACGATCCACTGAGTGAGGATTTTCATACTCCTCATCGACCTGAAAACAAATGCATAAGCAAGAAAAATCACCCTAAAGCTGTGAAGAACAATCAATAACATGGAAGTATTTGAAAAAAATATGGTCTATCATCTACCCTTTCTAACCTGTCACTATTACTGACATTCAGATCTCTTGGTTTTACTTTTAAGGCTGCATGTTTTCTGGGACAAGAACTATGCTTCCTTTTTGTACACCGCCCCACCCTTCGAAGCTCGAGGTTGAATGGGGACTCTGCATGCAGTTATAGCTTTGGTGTTAGCACTTCCCCTTTCTTCTCACCATGCCTTTGCTACCTTCCCTCTGGGCAGCTTGTAGGTAATCGCTTTCCAACCCCTTGCAACATGACACTTGAACTTCACTGATGTCTGCCTAGCTTCCTGCAATAAAGGTGATTTCCAATCATGAAGACTAGTTGATCTTTCCTATGTTAATAAGAATGGCCAATGGAAAAATGAAGAGTAAACTGCCTCGGTTTTGCAGTATACAGATATCAGAGTTGGAGAAAAACCCTCCTAGATAACATCTTTACTGTGGACATTTTAAAATTTATAAATGACACGCAAGATCTACCCTCTGTATTTGGCATATTCATCAAACCATCATCATCATCATATCAAAATTCACAAGAAGGCTCTGAACTCTTACACACTTCTTCCCACTAGGCTTCCCACTAAGAAGGCAATTCAGAGTTTCCACCTCAGATGCAAGAGCAAGACATAAGCTGTCGACACTCCCTGCCCAAACTCAGATCAGCCATGGAGGCTCCACACCCTTAGTGAGTGAGGGCTGACAAGTCTGCAATGGGATAAGCAGCTGGCAGGGAGGGATACAAAGGCAAATAGCATGGAAGACCACAAAAGCTCATTTGAATTTCTGTTACAATGGAAGAATCAGGTAAACAGTAACAGCAAAGATGAGGGGAAAAGAAAAAAACCCAAACAAAAGAAACAAAAAACCAAGCCCAAGCTCTATTCCATCTGAAACCTGTTTCTCACATACAAGCTCTGGAAAAGAAAGAGCACAATCAATCAACCGAGCAGACAGACAGGACAGTCTGTGCTTTATGTCTTCTTCAAGCTTCAGCTCCTAAGTTGGCATCAACACTTCTTAAATATATATCTTGCTATGAGGATTTAAAACTTTAGTCCTGCTCTAATGTTTCTGTAAAGTTTCTCAAGTAAAAAATGTGACCATTTAGAATCCTAAAGTTTAGCATTTCTCAGCACATGTTCTGAGAAGTCTCTTAGTTTTTAAATAATGTGCAGTAATATTTTTTTATTGCTGGTTTAGATTTATCAGCTACAGGAAAACTATAGAGCTGACATTCATCTATACTTTGCATACTGAAGTGGATGTTGTATTTTCACAATACCTTCTCTGGAGGGACTGCATACAGTTCAGGCATTAGCACTATTCCGTTCTTCTCTCTAATAAGTATTCCTTCCAGAGCCTCTCTATACTCTTGTACCTGGAAATATTTTTAAAAGAGAGTGAGAATTCACATTAGAGTCAGCAAAACTGAAACAGTAAAGTTAAAGCTTTAGTACTTTCCAACAGTACTTTTCTTCTGAAAGTTCATTTAAAAAAAATCACAAAAAAAAAAAAGGGAGGGGGAATCATGACTTGCTGACGGAAGATGAGGGTTCAAATTCTCAGAGACTGTTCCAGCATCTCAACATTATCAGCCTCAGAAACATGAACACACGTCTTTAATCTATAACATACTATTGCAGTACAAAAATTCTAACATATTCCTATCAAGAAGTCACTGGAATAAATCCTACATGAAATTTTCAACAGATGATGATGCAGTGAAATGGATGTCAGGACTGCCAATGTCCACAAAAGTATAAGGTGTATATACATTGTTAGCATTCTACTATGCACATTTGTCTGATTTTCTGAGTTCTACTTTGCAGGACTGGGAAATCAGTTTCTCTTAACTAATTCGCTCAAAAATTTGCCCCATGGAAAACTTAAAATAGATTTAAACGGTTTACCTAAGTTAACTGAACAGAAAATCCTCTTGTTCTTGTGTTGTTAGATAACATTTATGAACAGGATTACCAGACTGACACAAAACAAAGAACACTGAATATTCTTTTTACCAAATCACTTATTTTGTTTCATTTCTTAACTATCCCATTCCAAGTTTTTACTTATAGGGAAGCTGTTTTCAAGCATTACCAGCACTTGCCTCTGAAATCCTATTTCTGCTGTCTGTTTCTGAGTACAGTGGAACACGCAAGGTAAGGTACCCACAGGTTCATATTATGGTACACTGATATTTTCAGTCTCCTGAAATATCACTGATCAGACTTGTTTTGAGTCGTCAAGGTGCTTATTTTTCTAACAACTGCTGCCATTGCAACCACTTGTTTGCAGCACTAACTGGGGAAGACTAGACACTCACCTGAGTGTCTCAAGTGACTCACGTCTCAAGTGGCTGTGTTTAAACAACAGGAACCGAGAGCAATTGCCCGGTCTGAGCATGCCCTAGCACAGCCCGTCTGCACACCATGAAGGCAATCAGGCACATACTGTCCCAGATAATCCAACTAAGTTCTAGAGACTGCTTTGGGAAGTGGTATTTTATCAACATGACTCAAGTTTCAGTAACCTTTCTGATTTCCCCCCTCATGAAATAATGCCATTTTTCTCTCCACCACGCTGTTTTTACTGCGTTCAGGAAAGCAACTTCCATTTCTAGTGTCAGTAAGTATTTAACTTTATTTACAACATCTGGTACAGGAAGAGAGCTTTTTGGTCTGACATTCTCTGTTTTGTTTCTGATGCCATTTTAATTTTTAAGGGATTATGTTTAGGAATCTTCTGTCCCTCTGCATACTAGGTGACTTTAAATCACACGTATTTTTTATTCCTTCAAGCCACCAATCTACAGAAGTCTTCGCATGAACACATTAGTCCTGGCTACTTGTCACTCTTTAATTCGGACTGGACTCTTTAATTCGGTTGGACTGGATGATCTCTGAGGTCTTTTCCAACCTAGAAAATCTATGAAATCTATGAAATCCACCAGTACACTCCAAGTGCTACTATAACCTTTGGAGGGCTACAATCAATTTAGCTCCCCTGACCACTGCATGCTTGACACAATAAAGGCATGAAGTAACTTAAGAAATTAGTGAAAATTAAATGACTCCTCATAATCCAACCCCAAATCTCCCTGAATGCATGAAAGGACTTAAAGTACTACGAATCTCATTCCCAGCAGCCAAACCTCAGAGGTCGGGAGAAACAGAAGATGGTCCTGAAGTAATTGGGAAAGGGGCATCAAGGCTAGCAATAAGACAGAACCAGGTAAATAAGCCCTGTTCAGTCCAGTTTGACCACACCAGCTAACAGAGCCACTCAACCTGATAGAGAGAGGGCAGTGAGGTCCCAGTGCACACAACACCACAGCCTCTACCATGTCATGAACTCCCCAGGAAAGTGAGATTGGCTGAAGACTACTCCAATCCTGCTGATGGGGTATCTAACTGATATCCAGAATAAACATGGAACAAAGCTACAAAACACAATGGCTTTGCATTTCCATTGAAAGTAATTTTTTCTTTCCTCACCTGAATTTTGTCCTCATTAAATACTCCATCAATTAGGAAGTACGTCCAGAATACCGGCCACTCACATTCAATATTCTCAAAGAGCTTGAGCTCAGCAGGATCATAGTGCAGCCTGCTTGGATCCTAGAAATTCAATCATGTTCGTTTAGTCACAGCACTAAATCAGTCACTTATATTCCAAACATAATAGAAGCCTATTTTATACAAGTAATTAAACCCAGAAAACCAATAAAAACACTGGAAATAGTTTCCTTGCAGTCTTTTGACTTCTTTTTCACACTCAGTCTCAAACTCTCTTGATTGTTCCCCTGACAAATCAACCCTCCTCAGTCTCAGAATCTAGGTGACAGCCAAATACTCTTGGCTCTGCCTAAGTTCAAAGATATTTTGGGATGCTTAAGAGACACTGCTTCCCCTTAGGCAGCATAAGCATACCTAAAGGTTCATTCCTTAAAGAATTATAAATTAAGTTCTGCCCTTAATAATTGGTTTACAAACAGTCTTATTCAGAGATGTGTCATTTCTAGGGCAGATACCTGGATTACCTCCAAATCCACTAGGATGTCTTAACAGCGACACAGAACTTTACTTCTTCATGCAAACGAGACAAAAAACGTCTATAAACAAGAGATAAAATTCTTCCTAATGTCTACTGAAAATATACATCAGAAGTACCTCTCTGGGTGTCTTGTAACCATCTCGGAGAAAGCGACAGCAGCCATAGCGGCCCTGTAAAAACAGAAAATTATAGAAAACTTCACATACTGTTCTTCCTCACAGACTAGCATCAGCATAAAAGTACGTGCTGAGTTTTAAAAGTCACTGAGGGATTTTCCTCTCTCTCTTCTATGCACGGATGCACCAAGTCTGGTAACCCTTGTTTAATTAAGATTTTTGGTTAAGAAAGGGAGGTTCTGCTTCTCTTTTCCTTTGGAAAACAAAAATTAAAAAAAAAGAAAATCCTTACCTGCAATTTGGATATGATTTCACTCTTGGTCACATTAACAAGGTTTATATCCTCCACTGCAAAAGCTGGGTAAGAAATTATAGAGAGAAGGCCAGCATCGATTTCCTTTGACGTGGATGCCCTTGGCAACATGGAGTATAGAATAGACTGAGCAAAACAGGAACAGAAGAGAGAGATGTAAACAATTTACCTACTTCAAAAGACTATGTGAAGTGTAAATGGAATAGACTATACTATTTGCAAACTGACAGAACTCACTGCACAATTATTTTTAACTGAGTTATTACAAGAGTGCTTAACACCACTCACTTTCGCATGATCTACTAGAAACAGGGTGAACAGCATTGAGGCCATCCTTATTAAGTTCTTGGTTCAGTTAATCAACATTTCATTTAAAAACAAAAGGGAGAGGGTGTTGGGTTTTCCCCTAGCAAAGGAAACAGAAGACTAGGTTTTACCTGACAATGTTCTACTTCATCCGGAAGAACATGAATCACTGATTTATGTCCTCCATGAGCACCAAAAAGATCTAGTTCATCAATTGCTTCCAAAGCAGCCTTCAACAAAAAACACCGAAAACCATTAAATACCTTTTAAGCCAAGTATATACCCTAGCACCCATGGTTATCCTCTGAAGGAAATTACATAAGACAGAAGTTTGCTTCACAGACATTTTTCATCTTTAAAGGAAAGCATGGCAATATTTTAGAAAAGGTAAGTATATCTGTCCTTCCCCTAGTAGGATACAGGTCTGATGTGCTGGTGACTCGTCTTACAGTTTAAAGGCAATTCAAAGCAACGGGGAGCAGGGCTTCCACTGAGATAATATCTGAAGTATTTAGTAATACATATTTCTCCTGTCCTATACTCCAAAATAATAACTCCCACATTCAGGGGCCTTTCACTCATCCTGCCTGAAGGGCTTATTCAAAGACAAAGGCTTGTCCAATGAGGCGCCCCAGAACTAGCAGAGGCAGTGTCCAGAAAAGAGAGTATCACCATCTGTATGATACTATCACTACTTGAGGGAAAGAAAAATGAGACAGCTGCTCTCTGCACAGTCAACCAAGGCACAGCATGTTCTGTGTCAACAGGTGGATCCCCACATCTCACACCCCTTGGCCACAACGCGTTGGTCTAGTGAAGACACTAGCAGCCCAACCATTTGACTCCATTTGGGCACCCCTACTTGAACCCAGCAAGCTACAAAACCTGGCTTTGCAGAAGCAGGGTGCGCAGTGCCATGCAGGTAATGTAGCAGAAAGACAGCAAGGACCGGATGGCCAGAGCAGAGCTTTCCTCTTAAATGCATGTTGTGGTGGCACTGAATGTTGCTCCGTGCCCATTTTCGTCCTGCAGGTTCACAGTAATGTCAATCTATGACAAGGGAAGGGTTGCACAACACAGCTTGCCTTATTCTCTCTCTGGAGAGTTAAGAGTATTTTTCTTCTTCCAACACAAACATGGGTTTACTGGATCTGCTGAGCCCCTTTCTCTAGCCAAGTGCTAGAGCAGCAGATGTTCCTGATAGCAGCAGAAAGCCCCATTGAGGAATCGACAGCCAGGACCATGGGCAGTCTTAATGGCAAAAAATGCACTGAGATCAACTCAAAGGCACACGCTCTGTGCTGTATTGCTGTCACATGTAGCCACACAAAGCAGATATGGGACAGAAATGTTAAGAGGCAGAATTCCTAAAACAGATTAAAAAAAAAAAAAAACAACCAAAAAAAACGCATCTACCTCACCCTCTGCACCAGGGCCTCCAGTGTGCTTCCTGGTCCCCACCCCGAATAGCACTTTTATTGAACTCAGAGCCACAGAGAAGCAAAGCTGTGCAGCAAGTCCCACAGATAGCCCTGACATCAGTGCACTCAGAAGTAGTGCAGAGACCACAGCATCCCGTGTCAGGCTGTCCAGTGCAAAAAAACTCATACTGGACAGCTAATAATCTACCCCCCAGGCATTGCCCCATCGCTGTTTGACTGAACTCTGGCCAAGACCAGCAGTTTCTCCCTCTTGCAGCCACACAAGATCTTGGTAACTCATAAATCCTGCTGAAGCAACTACACCTTTGACCTTAATGATATTTGGTTTCTGTCAGTTCCTCAGACACTATTCAAAAAAGTAGTTGTCAATTACACATTTACATTTATGGTCTTCTGAGCTTCATTAAGTATCTCCGTGACCTTGTGCTATAGGGGAACTAGAAATATCCACTTTCTTTTAAGCACATCTTTACTCATTTTTCTCTCTAAATTACTTGTGAATAATTTCTTAGATTAATATTCTGCTGTTTTCCAGCATTTACGTCTGAATTAACCTTACCATGAAAACATTACATATAGTCCTGGGGCTGGACAATTAAGAAAAAAGGACAGAAAACCACAGGCCACTTTGTGAGACTGCATCCCACTGAATTTATCAGATTTATGCCTCAACGAATCTGGTACCCTTCCTGCAATCCCCAGAACAACTGTGCTGAGGTCCTTCAATGAAAGCCAGTATCACAAGGATTTTACATTGAAAAATGCTCACTCACACTTCAAACAAAAATTCTTATACAAACAGTTAGCTATCATAGTGGCCAAGAAGCCTATGCAAAGGAAGCCATCAGGTTTGTCAGAGCCCTTCAGCATGACCGAACACCCACAAAGGAGGTATCAGGAAGACATTCTCACTTTGGCCATCCCTACGGAGCTTGCGTTCAGTTCAGGGATGCCTTGGTTTGTCTTATCACCACGTTCCCAAATTCCATAATCCTGCAACAACATCATCAAGAAAAAATTGGCATGATTATATACAAAAACAATGTTTCCCCACTTGCCCATAACAAAATCAGACCTCTGAATGAGGTATTTGCCTTAGAAAAAAAAAAAAGAAAGAAAAAAAAAAGCTCCAAATCTCTGAAGATCTCCTCCTCATGTTTAAAGAGCAGCACATAAAAACACACCCCAGCAGGATCAGGTCTACAGTCATGAATCACTGTCTTCAGAGAACACACAAAGCCTTTTACTCTTCCTCCTGCGCATGCTTCTCTCCCTGTGCCCCTTCAACTTGTCACTTTGCAAAGTTTGTTAACACTTTGCTCTTTTTAGAAAGGCCTATAAGATTTTAATGAGATACCAGGAAATATCATTAATTATCAATAAACTATTATTATGATAGAACAAGTATACCTCACCCAGGCAGCAGTAAATCCTCCACAGTCCTCCCACCGTCTCCAAAGACGCTGCTCACAATCTACAGTACTGACAAGTTCTGATATCTTCTCATGGAAAAAGAAGTCCTTTTTTTCTTTCTCCATCAATAAATAACTTTCCACCCACATCTGAGCAGTGTACAGGTGATTTACATACAAATAACCACTTACAGCAACTTTGTAGGCAGCTTCTATGTAAAAAACAAGATTCTGAATAAAGGTAACTTCATCTAGGGTGAAGATAATTCGTAACCCTGATTAAAAGAAGGGAAGAGAGTGATTATACTGTGTCAGACTGAAATATTTACTCTTCAGTGAGTTTCATGCTTTTGTTTATTTGCTACCAACTACTGCCCTCTGAAATCACTGGAAAAACTCATGTCTATTTCAAAAGATCAGGCAGGAAGCCTCAATGTTTGCTGCTGATAAAATACTTGAAATGCCACCAATACATACTGTTTCAAAGACCAATCAAAAACCACCCCTGGGAGGGTGGCATTCAGACACAGTGGGTACAAAGCAGAGGCATCTGAGCCAGCTCTGGCTCTCAAGAGCAATGCATCCCAATTCCTGCAGCTGCCCACTTAGTGCTCTATCAAGGGATCACCAGGTCCCAGCTCAGCAGGGGTCAATTGCAAGGGGCTCTGAAAAACAGTGCCAGCAAGAAGAGGAACACAGACAGGACTAGTGGCACCTGACTCGATGTCGCCACTCTCTGAAGAAACCTGACTGTCCATCAGGAAGCCCCACGTAGTCTTCAAACACAAAACTCTTCTCTGACATGACTCGGACTAGCTTATGTATTTGTGAACCAAGAAACATTAAGGGGATGGACACTGTCGGGGCAGTTACTATAAACATGAAATCCTAACTAAGCCACATCTGTTTTCCAGAGAAATGTTACTTTCCTCTGAGTAATAACTATGTAAAAGTTTTTTAAAACATTTTCCTTTTAAAATAAAAGCTAGACTAGAAAAAGACTGCAACAAGAGTCAAGGCTAAAGTATCTTCTGCTTACCTGATGCAGTCATCTGTGCCAAGAAGAGCAGGTAAAGAGAAGTTGCATCCACTTGTAAATGCCCCCACTGGTCGTCCCCAACCACCGTGGCACAAGTAGCAGAGTTGTACTTTGCATGTAGGCAGTCTTTGGTACTCTGTGTGCATTTGAACTTCTCTACCTTATCTACCTAAAAAACACCACAAATTTCAAATCTGAAACACTTCGGAAGATATTCTCCAGATTACTTCAAGACGAACAACTTTTCTTAGGTGAGGAGAAACTTGAGGTCCTAATTTTTGTTACCACACTTCAGTGTTTTTTGATTGACCAGAATGCTTAAACACAACTCTAACTTCAGGCTCCAGCTAAATCTACATCTCTTCAGGAAACAATAAGATGAGATTACCTTGTTGAGTTCAGATTTTAGTTACAGGTATGCACCTTGGTGAAAATCAGTTTGCAAAGGCAAAACTTCTTGTAGCAATTTGCTACAAGCACAACCTCAAAGAGGGGCAAGTAAGATCAGAGTTTTGCTCAAGATTTTTAAAAAGACTCCCCACATCATCGTCTACGCACATGCAAAAAGCTCACTCTACAGAAAAGATACAAGGAGTAATACATGCTTCAGACGAAATACTTTGCAAATACAACACATACTAATTCAGCTCACACCTGTGACCTTACCTGTCGCATCATGCACTGTAAGAGTCCCCGCATCAGCTTCACAACGTTCTGCAGAAACAAAACAGACCAGTGACACCCTCAGAAGATCAGTTACCATCAGCTGTTACCAACAACATTCAAAAGTGACAAAGTTCACATCCCCTACTAACGTCCTGTCAACGGTAAAAAATGTGTATTTCCCTGAAACACTTTACATTACTTTTTTTTTTTTTGATATACTGGCTGATTTTTATTTCCACATCTCTATCCAGAAGAACAAATTTTTTCCATAAGGCCCTCTCTAAACAGTGGAGCAACCCTCTGTGGTCCTTCTATCCAGTTAAGGAAGTAAGAGGAAAGCTATGTCTTGTAAGATTAATAATAATAATGATGACGATGACGATTTTTAGAGTGACAGATGCAGAGAATGCTGCTAGATGTCTGCAAGGCATTGAAATGATTGGAAAACCTGTAGAGCTTCTTCCTCTCTTTATATAGTACAACAGAAAGCAGATGACTAAAGTAAAGAAAGGGCCTTTATGAGTACAAAGAGAAGTGCAAGGTTTTGTCTTAAACGAAGAGATCAACCCCATCTTTCATCCAAAAATTATTATAGCCTCAAAAATGATCATGCAAACTGTGGCAAGGTTATTCTATCACCACAGATCTCCCTGGTTTGAGCAGTAAATGTCAGCATGAAAATTACTCAGTGCCTTCGAAGCTACTGCAGGACACTGACATTAACACTCCCTCACTTCCCATTTAACAACCTCTACACTCTCACTTTCGATACTTGCTTTCCCAGCTGCCGATTATAGAAATTAACTGGGTGATTTACCTCCTCTTCTAATTCCCCAGCACATGACTCTTACCAGTTTACAGATCTGATTTGATCGAGTATGTCTATACACCAGGTACGACTTCCGTGAGATGACACAAGCGCACGTTTCCAAGACTGCTATTTTAAATGGCATGCTTCTCCTTACGAGGAAGAATGGTCTAGTAGATAAATTGCTACCCTTGGATCCAAGCCACCCAGGCTTGACTTTCTGCTCCGTAATACACTTCATGAGAGATCTCAAAGTTTGATCAGAGACTTGTAAATCTGGCCGTAAAATCTCTCAGAAGCCTAATTTTTCAACAATCGGCCAACTGATGGAAGTTTGATTCCTCTATGTATTTGTTTTGTTTTTATTTTAATTTAGATGTTAGCCTCTCTGCCACAGTTCTCCAAATCTTGCTTGTCAGAAGGCTGCTGGGAACACTGCACACCACACGCTGCGTCCCGAATACTGACATGACAGGAACAAGACACATACTCCAAGGTGGGAAAACCCTGCTAGATCCTAGACACAGCAGCAATGCAAACGCACCGTTCAAAACCGCTACCATATGGAAAAAACAAAGAGCGTAACTGTTTGACACTGAACTTGGACGTACCTGCTCAAGCTCGTAGGCTTTGGCCTTATCCTCATCCCGGTCCGCGTTCTTCCGATAAGCCATCCCCAGCCCCCACACAGCCAGGATGCTGTAGATGTTGTCCCGTACCCAAGCATCCTTATGGTCCGTACCAGCTGCAAGCAGCCCTGTAACTGGATTCTAACCACAGTAGAAGGCATAAAGAACAAATATTACTACCCGAAATCCCATTTATTAAGACGCCCCGGTTCTTTCCATATCAAAGGGTAACAAAACAAAAGAGAGAGCCAAAAATGATTGCACACTGCGGCTGCTCACAATTTTGCAACAGAAGAAAAGTCTCATCTTTCTTTCCCAAACTCACACAAGTGAAATGCAAAATTTCTTTGAATGCTTCAGGACAAAGTTCATGGCATCCAGCTGGGCATGCTTATCCACACAGGATTATTAGCTAAGTCACTGAGTGAAATTTAAAATACACTGAGGAAATTGGAATTTAAATTTTATATATTTGTAAGGAAAAGGAGGTACTGAGCTAACATTAGAAACTGAATCCGAGATCTGTTCTTCTGTATGCAACTGGTCTGTGGCATAATCTTGAGGAAGTGAAAAAAACACTGCTTGCCTTTTAGGAAATTAAAAAAGTATTTCTATTAATTTACCTGCTTGGTTTATGACAGCTGAAGCATAAATGCACACAAAGACTTTTTATCTCCTCCTTTGGAAAATGTACTGAAAGACAAATTCTGACGGTGTTGAAAAGCAGCACTGTCTGAAAACCAACATACTGGGTAGTCTCCTGCATCCCAAATACTCCACTAAATTTTTCATTGTATCATTAATTGACACCAGCTCATTGTCATTAATTTTTAAGACCGTCTTTCTCAGCTGTACGTTCTTCACAAACAAAAAAATAACGTAGAGAGGCAAAAGGTCGATACAGCTTTCAATCAAATCAAGCCTTTATTGCAAATTTCAGTGAACAAAGACCAGCTGCCAGGATTGGTGTGACAAGAGGACATAAAGATAAGTAAAACTAAAAAGAACACATACACTATTTTTTCATTTCTGCCACAGACTGGTTCACTCAACTCCTTCCATAGTTATTTTTTGAGAGGGAGGAGCTTCAAGCACAATTTCCTGGGCTTTGCATGTGACAACTGAACAAGACGTGGGTGACAACCTGACGCACATGACTGGGCACAGTCAGTGCTATTGTTAGGGTATAAATACAGCCATGTCTAGTGGCTCGCTGTGAGTAGAAATGTGTCATTCTGCTCAGAGTCCCTCAGCACCACCTTCACAAACCAGGTAACAACAGCAGGAACACCTACTCATCTATTTGTTGAGGAAAGGAGCACGTATGATCCCAAACAGCTTAAAAATTTTCTCTCTTTTCCTTCAAAAGTCAAAACAAGGAGTAACAGAAGAACAACACGTGAGCAAGCAAAGAAAGGAGAACCCACTCCCAGTTCAGTGCTGCACCCGCATGGTGAAAACCAGGATCTCAAAAGGCAGACTGCATATTCCCAGTATTTTTAGAGGGCACTTTGTTTCCTTCCTCCCATGCAGCACAACAAACTCTATGTACCTGCAGCTCGGATTGACAGAGATCATCCTGCTACCTGAGAAACGATCATTTTGGTTTAGTTTTCCCCATCCTCTATGCTGGGCTGGCAGCCAGCTGCAAAATAAAAACACCTCCAGGTACCCAGATGGAAATCCTGGAAAAACAGCCTATGCAAGACTTTAAAAGACTATTCAGCCCTCAGAGAGGGACCGACCTACTTTGAGAAGGTCGCGTTAAACAAATCCAAGGGCAGCTATCACCACTTCAGCGCCTTTGGTTCCTCTACAAGAAGGTCCCAGCTCTTGAGGCGCACTGAGACTGGCTCTCATGGAGTGACAACACATTAATGTCTTTCCTCATGCACATTCAGAATGTTAGCACAACACCACAGTAAGTTAATATTTTAAGTGGATGATGGTGGTTTTTTTCAGAAAGCGCTTACTCTTAAAAGCTACATTTTATTTTCTTCTGTTACCTGCCGACAACATAAAAAGTACAACTCTTACAAGGTCCTAAAGAACCTGAAGAAACGAGTGCGCTTAACTCCAAAGATGTCAAAGGGGCTTTATCTCAGCAAGTACTTCAAAGCATTACAACTATGCAGTGATCTCTAATTGGACTAGCAGGTCTCATCCTGCAAATCACACTGTACGTGCAGCAAAGAATTCTACCAGCACCCACAGGCTCCACAAGCTGAGAGCACCACAATGGAAAGCTGATTGCTGGACTAAGACTTTTAACTGTTGTATCATGCCCAATGCTATTTTTAAGTCTATCTGTTAGTCTGGGGACAAAAAAAACCCCAACAAAACACACCAGTTTCTACAGGGGACCAGACACTAATAAGAACTTCAGCAACACAGGCACAAAAATAGTGGGGTTCTAACCAGAGCAGCAATACAAATAAGCCCACATTTAGCATCTGGCAGAAAATCTATCTAATTTGCATCTGTCTCATTGATGGTCAGATGAAAACTGATGTAAGCTCTAGCGAAATCTGCAGATAGATTGTTTGCATGAAACCAGACATAACGCAATTGTGGTTACCCATAAACGTATGCTAGATGTGCTTGCCTTATCAGCTGCATATGCTTTTCTCTTACAGTACCCTAGCAATATTTAAAATGTATATAGACATTAAGTTTTGCTATTTTATGGATGAGACATTAAGTTTTGCTATTTTATGGACGTATCTTAAGATTCACATTTTTTCTTATCTCATTCAAATTAACAAGTGTAATAAGCAGCTGAGAACAAGCCTTCTGGTGATGCTCTTTAGCGCTTGCTTGGCTACATTATCAAAGCATCCCTCTGGCCCCCATCCCCAGGGGCACATGCAATAGCTGGCAGATCCCACAACAGAGCAGGTTGGTACAAGCGATGCAAGGGCATGAGACAGGAGCCCGCAGTTTGGTCTTAGCCTCCTTGTACAACCTTTAACAGGATCGTACCGATCACTGTGCATGCTGCAGGGACTGATCAGCAGAATGCAACACTTTGAAAACTAGAAAAAGTTTGCTACAGATCCAATCCTGCAAGGCGTCGCATACAGAAAACTGTCAACCCTGGCGAGGGGTCTGGACCGATGCTTTGAGTGCACGTCTGTCTGGTAGCACGTATATTCTGAATTAAAATTTGCCTCTAAAATGATGTTGATTTAGAGTGAGTGGAATGAACGCAAGATCAATTTCTGCTACTGAGAAACCTGACCTCCGGTGTATGAAACACCTTCTTACCAAAGCAAAATGTTCCCGAGCACACTATGTGCTCTCCTCACTGCATCCTTATTAGCATGAGCTCATCAGTGCCCTACGTCAGAGCACACCAGCTGACATGCCAAGTCTGCACACCTGGCACACTTGTGGATCCAAGGTACAAGGTCACAACCACACATCATCCCTGCACTGAGCTGCAGCACCTCAGAGGCATCTTAAATGCCTCCTGGCTCTTCTGCCAGGCTGGGCAAACTGATGGCTTAAATCCTCCTCCCTGGCTTCATCCTGAAAGGTGCCAGGAAGGCATCGTCAGTGAAGGAGCAGCCTAATCCATTCCATCACAGGCTATTCAGCTTCCAAGCAAGACGAGGCTGCACGTGGCCCAAGCGAGCACGTGGCCCACGTCCTAACTTGCCCAAGCAAGCACTGCATCTCTTCACCTAGCTGAGCAGGACGTTTTCAATCTATTGCAGTGGAAAATCACAAAGAGTATAGATATAGAGAACAAATCTAGAAGCCTGTCTTGCAGCATCTCTCTGGGCCCTCTTATGATATCTTTGTCCCTCTGCCTTGCTGCTAGCCTGTGACTTGCTTTCCACGCACAGAAGAAAACTTATCTCCTTCTCCCATCTATGAACTCTTCCCAGCATTGAGCATGTAGTGGAGAAGGCAGCACTGAGTCATGAACATGCATCCAAGCACCATAAATAGAGATCACAAAATTCTGTGTCACTGGTATAAACTTCCATACTGCCATTAAGTTACCCTTTTTATTACTGTTAACCATAAACATCATTAAGGGACAGCTTTAACGAGGCATGTTTGATCTCTGGATCCCAGAGGCTCCATCTCTGCTCTAATGGAGGCTGTTATCAGCATCCTCATCCTATAAACATGGAAATCAAGGTAGGCATTGGAAGCCAAGTGACTTGTCCAAGGTCATCCTGCAGACAAAACGCAGAGACAGGAGCACAACTCAAAGCATCTCCTGCATCCCAGTGGAGAGAGACAGCAAAATTATCTTCTCACACCACCTATACCATGGCCTTGCGATTGTTTCTAATGAGTTTATGATAATCAGTACACAAACATTAATTCACAGGAGACTGGACCCCGTGCCCACAACAGTCAGTGACAAAAATCTTACTGACCTAAGTAGATTTGAGTCTTCAGTTATTCTTTCACTGCTTTCCAGTTTCTTGTAACTCTCATCAACTAAGTATATTTGGGAATTGATTTGTGCAAAAAAAAAAAAAAGTCCTGTTGCTCTCACCTTTATGTACTGGACTGTTTTAACGGAAGCATGACACTGCAGAGACCGCTGTGAGTGCCCATCCTCGGAGCCCGCCTGGGTGAAGCGAGCACATTAAGCAGAGAGCGCTATGCTACATGCTTATGCATATGCACTGGCCAAAAAAAAACAACCACAGAGCAGGTAACGGTTTTTCCCTAGCAGCCCTGACATCTTCATTCTTTTACTGCCACTTACGGAGGCAGCACCGCCCGAGAAGCCGGAGCCCACGCAACCTTAACACCGGGAGAAGCTGCCCCGCTGAAACCAAGACTGCACAAGCCGCACCAGCAGCAGGGGGGGGACGGGAATCATCTCTGGGACGTGCACCCCGGCACACAGGCGTACTGCACAAAGCTGGCAGGCCGGCTGCTGCGAGCCCTGCTCTGTCCTGGGTTCA